GCGATGCGCTATGGCGACATCGGCATTGGAGGACGTTGCTGTGCAATAAATTGCAACACAATATGCAAACAAGGTTATCATTTATATCGTTTTCCGAAGGATAGAGAAAGGTAAAATATTGCACGGACATTAAACAAAAAATTAGCTATAAATATAATGTTAACCAAAATATATTTTATAAACACAAGAGAGTGTTCTCCGCGATTTACGCGTAAAAAAAAGAAGCGTCGATTTGGCACAGAACAGTAATCAGTTTTGGGAGAGGGCGTCCTATTTGTTGCCATGGATCTGAGATAGGTGTTTTGCGTTACGCCATAAGTTCGTTACTAATTACGTTAATTTGTTCCTTATATTCTAAAGAGAGGGCGCATTGTAAATCGGACGCTTCTAATTTTTACGCGTAAACGTACAGTCGCGCGGCGTACGCGCTGGTCAGAGCGGTCAAGGTTCAAAAGTTTTCAATTTTGCAAGAGGGCGCCGTTCATGCGTTATTACAGAATTTGTACGCGTAAATCGCGGAGAACGCTATCTTGTGTTTATATTATGATCTTTGATATTAACATTTTAACAAACTAGAATAGACACCCAGACAGTGACATCGGTGAATACATAACCTCCTTGGCGGAGGTAGAAATCGTTGCTATTATCCAAATAAAACACACAAAAAATTAATCCTAATCATGGATCAGTAATAAAAGAACAATAATAGCGCAGAATCGTATGGCCGGACGCACCCCAGTGATAAAGTTTTCCTCCATTAGTGGAAAAAGAAGGGTGCCGTGTGCGTCTGGATATACTTAGCAAGAAGGGCGCCCTGTACGTCTGGCCCCAAGTATAGAAAACTTGCATTATAAAAAAGAAGGGCGCCGCCTACGTCGGGCCGAATTTCCGCCTCATTGTGTTTACTGCCCCCAACGGGGGCGTAGACACTATGTCATGATGTAGCAATTAAAGATGGCGGAAAAGTTAAATCCGGTTTAGGCATGATGGGTACAACTACCACGAAGTAGGGGGCGCTCTATTGACAATCGAATAGCATTCGAAACTCGAACAAAATTGCGTTCGAAACACGAACACGCGTTATAGAGACGCAGCACGCGTTCGCCACGAACACCTTTTACCGTCATTTGAAGGACGCCCTCTAGAACATGGTAGTACTCTTCGTGATCAACGACATAACGTGGTAACTCCAAGAGTTACTCATTTTTAAGTGTTTTTAGTGCAATGTAGTAGGTCTATATAGAATATTGTTATGAAAGAAAATTTATATGAAAAATCCAGATACACTACCATAATACACACATCTGCATATTGAAGAACATAAGATAAAATTTAAAAAAAAACCAAAAACTGTATAAGGCAGTAGACACACGCTCCCGCTGCGAGCATATTTTTTTTTTTTTTTTTTTTTTTTTTTTTTTTTTTTTTTTTTTTTTTGCTATGCGAGTGCTCTATCTTGTATTTCTAGTATCTTTGTTAAACCGAACTTTAGTCGTAGTTCGAGCTGAAAAAATTACGTCATTTCGTATTCTTAAAAAGAATTTCGACCAGCACTACGACTAAATCACACGAACATCTACTAAAAGGATACCTCCGCAGGCCAATGTTTTCAGTCAGCCTAGGGTTAGGCTAAATCGCCGACTTGAAATATTTAACCCTCTAAAAACGTGATTTTTGTAACTCACGATAGAGTGAATAGAATAAAAATGATTGCATAAGTAGGTCTGATGTATCTTCGGTAAGTTCAATAAAAGAGACATTAAGATTAGCTTCCAAAAGGCAAAATTATCATGTTTTGCTAGCCACATGCGATAATTCCTGATTCGCACAATATCCCCTTTGCGTTGCAGTATTATTTTTATGCTATCAGATGATCCGGAAAAAATCCAATGCATAAACAATAACAATAAACTAAAAGTATATGAAATATAGGCCTAGGCACACCCGCGCCGCGGGTACACGTACCAGGAAGTCAACGCATAAAAACGTAAACAAGATGACGTAATTTGACCTTGATCATGGATGACCGGACTTTCTACCAATCAGAGACATGAATTTCATATGCTAATTAGCCAAACCGTTTAACACAATGTGTAAGGAAAGACAAAATATAGTTCGCTATTTTCTGTCTTAAAAAAGTCATTTCCCGAAGTCGGATTTTGGCCAATTTATATTATGTTGTTTTTTAAGATATTTAAAGCCCCATTCCCGGCAAAATTTCACTAAAAATTGACTTTTTTTTAGAAAATATGCATTTGCATTACTCCAATTATTATAAATCATGGAAAAATATTGGCATGAATTTTAGTTTTACGCAAAAGA